TTATAAACACATATTATCACATATTTCATTTTTTTCACATACATATTTTGAGGTTCATCACCACATATTTCTGGACATCCTAATACGAATGCTGATCAGTGGCTTAATCAATAACGTCTTATTGGGAAATTTCTAGACCTTTTAATAATATAACTATTGTTCCAGAATGTGACCAATGATAATCAATGCGCAGAAATTTACGTTTGTCTAATGATCCGCAGTGTATGATAAACAAGCAGATATTTTATTATAAAAACAGCACCGGTTAACTTATTCAAAAATCAACCACAACGCAATAAATATTGTTGAAACAAATACATCTTTAAAACAATAAAACAAATCTGTCAACTTCCCAATAACACTCCTACGAAAAATGCTTAATTTCCCGAGCGAATTCTTTTTTGGAGTATTTATTGGCTTCGTTCTCGGCCTGTTGCTCAATGGCATAATTTATAACAACCAACTCCACAACACGGGACTATTAACCAAGACCATAAAGTCCAGAAGATTGTCAAAAACGAAACCATCGGTGAACAAAATTTATTCGCCAGATATCGAAACGTTGTGGAATGATTTGAGATGATTATACGATAAAAGAACCGAATTGGATCCAAATTTTCATTTAAGAAAATGTCATTCGAAATTTATAAATTATTTGGAGAAAAAGCTGTTGCAGCTTTCACAATACAAAACTTTTATCTTCGAAGAACAACTCTGCGGAAAAAGACCATTGAAACAATCCGATATTGGATCGACAAAGAAAAGGAAAATGTAAACCATGAAGATGACGAAATAATAGATGGTAGCGATAATATTATTAATAATAGTGGTAGTAATGGAGATAATGAAATTTATAATTTGCACCAGAGTGACCAAAGAATAGGTTATACTCACAAATGGTGAGTATTTTCCTCCCATGCAATCACTCTGGTGCTTTTACGATTATTTATATTTCAAGAGCGCGCGTTTAATAATCGAAATAATAAAATTTATGCTTACGAAAAAAGTGAATTATTTTTACATTGCTTGACTTTTAGTTGCAAATGTGTCAAAAAGAGACTCATATTAATATCTCTACTGAGTTTAAAGAAAGAAATTACTATCGAGTAAATTTTTCTAAACTTTATTCTCTACAGGACTTTGATTTTTACGTAGATTTTGAGACACGTAATTACTGACGGGCAAGCAAAATGAAAGCTCAATGAATGTGCTTAAGCAGTCTTTTATCAAGACTATAAGAAATGAACTTTCGTTAATAGGTTGCTCAATCGGCGGAGGTCTTGATGGGATGCTTTTACGTTAAAATGCTTTCCTTTACGTTTCTTCTAATTTTCGTTTTTTTCTTGGTTTATCATAAGTTGGGGTTAATGTTCATTTATGGTTTATTATTTTTTGTTCTTCTTGGTAAATTTCATAAGTGATTTTTTCTTTATCTAGATAGTCTTGGAGAGTTTGGGTATCATTGATTTTAAAAACATATGGAGCAATTTTTTCTCACTGGGCTTTTTTTAAAATGCTTCTAATGGTGCTGTAATTCTTTGGTTCCATAGTTGATTTAATGTAAATTAGTTTCATATTAATATTTTTATATAGGGATAATCCTATATTAATCATGTTATAGTTATGGTTTATATTCATCATATTCTGGTATGATAAAGTGAACATTAAAATTAACAAGTCCATAAGTTATGAATGAGCATCATTATTATTTTTCAAAACGTCATCAGGCATACTGGTCAATTTTACAGCCACATCATAATCAGCCTCTCATTTATGTCACATAGTCAAATGTTCACTTTGTCTGGTTTTGTTGCAGTCTGCCTCATATTTACTTTTTAGCTGATATAATAATATATTTCTGTAATTAAGGTAACTTTATAAACCTATTTTTAAATAATTTTAAGTTTTATAATATTTGAGATTAAACATAATAAATATCTTTACTTAAACTTTCAATAAGTTTTTTTAAACTCATTGAAATTTAATCAAGTTTTAAATTTAAAAAAAAGGTATTTTAAAGATTTTAAAAAATTATCTAAATTTTTAAGCTACATATTAAAATAAGTTTTAAATAGTATTATTACTGTAAATGTATTATGTAAAATCAAACAAAAAATATATATTTATTGATTAATTTTTTTTATAAATAGTTTAATAATTTAAACAATTAAATTAATGAGTATTATTATAAGTATTTATACTTTTAGTTTACAGATATTTAAAATTAATGTAATTATGATTATATATAAAAATTTTTTTTAAAAAAATTGATATTTCTCTTTTAAAGTTTTTTTTTATTATAAAACAACTTTTTTTATTTTACCTTTATTTTTTAATTTTAATTTTATAATATCTCAATTTTAAGATATATCAAAACAAATTTATAGAACTTTAAATTAGTTATAAATACCATATAATTGATTATATATAAAAATAAAAATAAATTTATATAATAGTTAGCTAATAAGCAAATTATTGTTTTAGTAAGTAGTTACAATTTTTTAAGTAAAAAAGTTGAATAAGATTTATCATTAATTCTTTAATTTGAGATATTAATATTTAGATATAAAAAGAAGATTATTTTAATCCTAAGTTATAGGAATATACTTTAAAATATATGAATAAATTATTATTAAAATTAAATTTACACTAGGAAATGTGATCTGCTTAAAGTCTGAAGCATGATATATAAATTATAATATCATATTTCACATAATTATTTTTTTTTATATTTTCAGTACGTAGTGATGGTATAATGATTAGTTTCACTGACTTGCGTCAATACTCCATCACAATATTATACCCTAGGTCTCCGCTAGTCTTTGCCATTGCCAACTCATACTATTATAACTGGTTTAAATATTGCCGTCACTTTTAGTGGTGCTGTTGTTAGCTTGAATCCATTATGAAGATTTGACTTCTCCTGCCAGTTACCAGTTATCCAGAACCACATATCACTATAAGATTGAAGGATCTATTACACTATATATCTTGCTAGAATATACTCTTACCTAATTAATGCTGCAGATTATTATCATAAGATTTGCCTAAATGGTGAACTAGCGGGATGATAAATAGGCCATATTGACAAACATCTTAGGAATTGAACCTAACATTAGACCTAGTGTTCTGCATAGATCGGATCAGATCGGATTTGGGTAAAATCTGATTCGATCCAAATCTGAAAAATCTGAATCTGATTCGATCTGAATCTGATAAATCTGAATCTAACAAATCTGAATCTGAATCCGTATCTGAATCTGACAAATCTGAATCTGTATCTGTATCTAACAGATCAAAAAAATTTCTAATAAAAATCTGCCTCTGCCGTTCAGAATAGCGTTTTAATGTTAAAAAAACAAGAAAATTTATTTTTTAACAAAAATCTGCCTTCGACGTTCAGAACGGCGTTTTAATGTTAAAAAAATAACAATTTTGTTATTTTTTTAACAAAAATCTGCCTTCGATGTTCAGAACGACGTTTTAATGTTAAAAAAACAACAATTTTGTTGTTTTTTTTAACAAAAATCTGCCTCCGACATTCGGAACGGCATTTTAATATTAAAAACAACAATTTTGTTGTTTTTTTAACAAAAATCTGCCTCCGACATTCGGAACAGCATTTTAATGTTAAAAACAACAATTTTGTTGTTTTTTTAACAAAAATCTGCCTCTGACGTTCAGAACGGCATTTTAATGTTAAAAACAATAATTTTGTTGTTTTTTTTAACAAAATCCACCTCTGACGTTCGGAACGGCGTTTTAATGTTAAAAAAACAACAATTTTTTTTTTTTACAAAAATCTGCCTTTGACGTTCGGATCAGCATTTTATTATTAAAAATTAATTTTTTTAATAATAAATGCCACGTCTGACTTTCAGGGTGGCATTTTATTATTAAAATTTAATTTTTTTAATAATAAATGTCACGTCCGACTTTAGAGCGGCATTTTAATATAAAAAATTAATAAATGTTGCATCTGTTTTTTTGTAGCATTTTTATATAAAAATTAATAAAAATTAATTTTTTATTAATAAATGCTACGTCTGACTTTTGGGGCGGCATTTTATTATTAAAATTTAATTTTTTTAATAATAAATGCTGTGTCTGACTTTCAGGGTGGCATTTTAATATAAAAAATTAATAAAAATTATTTTTTTTATTAATAAATGCCGTGTCTGACTTTCAGGGTGACATTTTAATATAAAAAATTAATAAATGTCGCATCCGTTTTTTGGGGTAGCATTTTTATATAAAAATTAATAAAAATTAATTTTTTTATTGATAAATGCTGCGTCTGACTTTTGGGGCGGCATTTTATTATTAAAATTTAATTTTTTTAATAATAAATGTTGTGTTCGACTTTCAGGGTGGCATTTTAATATAAAAAATTAATAAAAATTAATTTTTTTATTAATAAATGCCGCATCTGACTTATGGGGTGGCATTTTATTATTAAACATTAATTTTTAATAATAAATGCCACCTCTGACTTTCGGGATGGCATTTTGTTATTAAAAATTAAATTTTTTTATTAATAAATGCACGTCTGACTTCGGGGTGGCATTTTTTATTTCAAATCCAACAAATCAGATTTGAATCCAAATCTGAATCTGACGGATTGAATCTGAATCCAAATCCAAATCCGTCAGATTGAATCGGATTTTTTGCGAAATACTACTCAGACCTAATGATATGTTCAATTAGATGATATTGTAACGTGGAATGCAGTTTATTAATCTAATCTACTAATTTCTGGTTAATCACTTTCTTAATTTATATACAATCTTATGATCATATACAGAAATAAGGATCCTGCCAGATAAGATGTAAGACTGTATTATATTTCACATATTTCATATAATTAATTATTTTGTAATACAAAAGACATAGCACATGATAACGTAAACAAAATATCATTAGTCTATCAGGCTTATCAAATTTGAATAGACAGAATAACCTTGCATTTAAATAACCTAGAAGTAAAATATCCTCTGCTATGCTTTGAATAATTATATGATTTATAATTAATTTTTTCTACAGTCAAACCTTGATATAGTGAACCCTTGATATAGCGAATTTTTAAATCAAATATATTAAAATTACTTTTATTATAGTGAACTAGCCAATTAAATTCTTTAAAAAATTCGTTATAAGCTTATAACGAAGTTGATATCCAGATCCTAGAATTCGTTATATTAAGAGTTCACTGTAAATGATTTTAGATCATATATTTTCTTTTATATATGCTAATTTAACTTAGATTTTATTAGAATTTAATGAAATTTTAAATTATAATTATATATTAATTAATTAATTATTTTATTTATTTATTTTATTTATTATTAATTTTAATAGAATCTTGTAAATATATTTGCTAATTATGTAATAATAATAAAATAAAAACTTTGTAAAGAATTATTTTAATTCAAAATAGTTGTAAATACCAAAAATAACTTAAAATTTTAAAAATAACTTTTATTATAATATATAATATTAATTTATGAGTCAAAATGAATTCAATTCAATTTATTAATTTGATTCAATTAATGACTTAACTCGAATCAAATGAGTCAGAAAAATTTTGATTCTATTTTAATCAAACTTAATTCAACTCATTTGATTCGGATCTCTAGATTTGATTTAAGCATAACATTAGATTTAATAGTTTTATTTACAAATTTTTATAAAATTAATAAATTTTAATAAACACAAATTTAATATTATTGGTTTCAATTTTTTACTAAATAGTTGTTTAAGCTGATATTAAATAAATATAAAACCATTTTAGATTGAATTGTATGACTGAATTTAAGTTTGATTTTAGAATTGATTTTTAGGTTAAATTGTTTCTGAATTGACATATCTGAATTTTTTTCGATGATATTTTTAGTTGAATTAAATCATTTTAACTAGTAATATAATTTAAGCACAAATATGCTAAGGTTAAGTATTAATTTTATTTTTTATTTTTATTAATAGTTTTTTTTCCTAAAATATTTCTTTTAGTTTAATTTTATTTGAGTTGTAACAGGACTCCGCCTATTACTAAGATAGGTACTTGATAGATTTACAATTTAATAAAGTATAATTTAATATCTTATTTCTAAAAAAGTGTTTTAAGTTAAACTTATTTTTCTATACGAGATAATTAAAAATGATCCAATCATGCGAATTTTACTGCGAATATTTTGATAGTTCTTTAAATTTTGGACTCAACTCAAAATGCCCATCATCCACCTTGATACTACATTCAATGTTTCTAATTATCCTTTCCTGCATCGGCATACTCTTCAAACAATCATCTTCCACGTAATGTTCTTTAATTAGGACTAGATAAAGCAGTCTCTGTGGTTTACAGAAGAATTCGGCAAGTATCCAGCTGATGTGTACTCCAGGCGAATGATGTCCAAGAGAACAAAGACTCACACATGAGTAGATTATTAGTGGTAATATAATAATAATGCTATAGATTAAGACAACCGAAAGTGGGACAATTGTTTGTTCCTTATTTATTTCAAGCGTATAAGAATACCCTTCACCTTCCCCATTCTCTTGTACTATACCACTAAATGTAGCGATGGTAGCTTGAGCCCATTGTTGTGCAAATTCATTGGCGAGTAATGTACTATTTCCTTTAAAACTTACATCTTCGACATCGTTTATCGCTCGACTAACCATTTTATATAAACTTGATGCACTAGCGAGTGTAAAAAGTTGCGAATTTGATAAATTTGCTAGTGGTGACGCATTAAACAATCCAAGAGTTATGTCATATTGAATTTTTGAGGCGAAAATTTGGCAATGCAATAGGAATGAAAGGTCACCATGTACTTCAGACACGAATTCAGAATCATAATTCGTTGAAAGTTCTTTAGCATAACGTAGAGTGACAATTGCATGTATTGGATTAGATACTTCATACTTTTCCGGACCACGAATTGCAGTAGTGACGTTTACATTAAAATTCGTAGTTACCGTGTTCCCTGAGGCATACCAGAGTTCTTCAGGGCAGCTGTAATTTGTACTGGCACCATATCTGGCTTTTAAATTGCATATGCTACTTATGGGTTCACACGTAGGTTGTAAAACAACACCAGACCCCGAATATGAATAAGCTTTCTCCAGAGGTGGGGATTGTATAAGGTAAATTCCACCGTCATTGCGCAAAAGCACTAAAGATTCGCTCACATTTTGATATACTTTCAGTACTCTATCATTATTCTTCATTCCACGCTTTCTTGCCACACAATTGTCCAAGTAAGATGTTTCGGGACAATCGGTTGCTATGTCTAGTGATCTAGCACTTGGATAAGTTAATCCAGGCAATTGTTGAAACTTTCCAATTGCAGTAATATGAAAATACAAATCAGCCATTGATGCTAGATATTGCCACAACAAGACAGAAACAATAATGAGAGAGAGTTTACGAGTTGGGCCCGAGCTAAAACAAGCTGTCACAGTGCACCATAGACCACGTGACATATATGATTCCATTAATTTGCCGATAATAGTGCCTGAACCATCCAGTTTGGTTATTTTGCCCAAGACAATAATCCCTGCTAAAATAGCCGGTACCATAAACCCTACAATAGCAGTTGATATTCTCGTGATTACTGTTACAACCGTCAAGACAAAACCGATACGCAAATCCCATGCAACATTGGAATCCGTCATCATTTGACCCCGTATGCCAACAAAGTATGCTAATACTAAAATCGAGATTGAAACAATCCAACCGAGGATGACTCCTTGAAATATTTGCGAACGGAGGTATTTGTTTACCATGGCTTCTGGTATACCTTTTCCGTCGGTATGGGAAATGGATGCATCATTTGGTTGATACTGCGAGTGATTCATTATTTTTTTTTTTATTATACAAGAGATTAATTAACACAGCTAGAATTTCAAGAAATGTATGTGTACTTTACTTCTAAGTAATATATATTTTCATTACTTTCAAATATTTATAAATATTTACGTTGTCATACATTTTTTTAATTAATTCGATGTTCAGCATTTCCGTACATTTCCGCACATCCCGAATATTTGGTATGTTCCACGCGACATCTATAATTAAAAAAGTTAATTCATATTATAATTGTACTGATTGATGAAGGTAGTTTCGCGATCACGTGAAAATAATTCATCATGCATAACTCCTAACTCTAAAAAAAAAATTTACAACCATTTACGTTTACAAATGGCAAATATCAAAAAAATTGAAGACATTGCACTTGAAGAATATAGAAAAACTGAAGGAGAGTTGAAGGAGAAGGACAGAAGTTAGACGAGCTGGAGGAGAAGTTAGAAAAAAGAGAATGGGGGAATGATGAAGAATTGAAGGAGTTGTGGAAAGGGCGAAGAAGTAGATTGATCAAAGAAAAAGAAAGGTTGGAGGCAGAGAAGAAGGATAAGTGGGATCATGTTAAAAATTTGCAGAATAAATTAGCCGACTTTGGCAAAGAAAAAGGTAATGAACAAATTGAGTAAAAAATTATACAAAAAATTATTTTCTATTCATTCCATTTCGTTTATTTATTTATTTATTGTGGGAACATTTATATGTTCCGACTAGTTTACACTATGGAATTGTTATTTACCACATTTTTATTTATTTGTCTTTCTTTTTGCAGAGAATGAGAGGATCCATATAGATAACGATGTTCAAAAAAATTATGAAGGTAAGTTTTGTTGGTGAGTTTTTTTCTTTGCAGGTTATGTTTTTCTCAACAATTTATTTCTAGATATTATAAAGAAAATAAAGTCCATTGTGAATCCACGTTGTTCAACTCCACCACATGTTTCAAATGAGAACATATCATCCACTACATCAACAGTTACTACTGTACAAGAAGTTGGAAATAGATTCAAATTTGTTGAACGTGAGGAACAGATGAGACTATACAGGGAATTAGTACAGAATGCATTTGAAATTTGGCAAACCTACCACACAAAATGTACATATTCAAAGGATGACTACAAAAAGAATATTATAATTCCAGTGATAGGAGGGGCTAGTGGTATTGGAAAGACAAGATTTTTAAATGAAATTGTGAGGTGGATGAAGGATCGTGTGGATTATGCTAACAGTCCACAAAAAAAAATATATCCTAACAATGAAACTACTGATGAGCAGAAGGCTGGTCTAGATAGGGTTAATTCATTTTATTTATTAACTGGCTTCCTATTCTCTTTTCGTTACTTAAACCTCTCTGTTTTTATTTAGATTCAGAGAATGTCTGCAGAAAATTTATCGGAGAAACTTAGTACTTTACATAGAAGTTAACAATTTATTGTTTAAGAAAGAGCATATTTGCTTAGAAAACCTTGCTGAAATGTTGATCATGGCATACATAAACCGAGTTGGGTCAATTGATAAAGACACTTTAAAAAAAATCCAAAGGTATGTAATTAAGTATTGTGAAAGCATGCTAACCTCCACCAAAGTGTACTTAGACAGTCTGATCCATTTGAGATAGTAGCAAATATATTCTATGAATTGGAATCAACAGACAAGGAACTACCAATCATATTTCTGATACACATGGATGAAACACAAATCCTACAAGAACAACAATTGCGACAAGTGATTTCAAAATTTACATCTTTGCAAATGAAAAACAATAAAATTCTCTTTCTGCCAACATTATCAGGACTTGATGTTGCTCTACTTGAACAATCAGTCAATACCAGTGGAACTAGTTATAAATGGATTCAATTACCATTACTTCGGGTCAATCATTATATGGAAATCTTGGATGAATTGTTTGTGGACAAACTTTCACTTAGGGAAAATCCTTCAGTTCAAAATGCTTTGAAGGATATTGAAGGGCCTCCTAGACTATTGCAAATGCTCTTACATTATGCTGCATTATTTCATCATCATGAAAATCCAATTCCTTATAAATTTTATAATGCACCCTTAAATATCGAAGATGCATACCAAACCCTCTCAGTTGCTAATTCAAATACATGGTTTAGAATCTTTCAAATGATGTCTTTACAATTCCATAAAATAGATGGTTCACTTAAAACAGTCATGCTATTATTAGAAGAAAATTTATACCCACTTGTTTATGGTTATTCCATTATCGACAAGCCTGTTTTATTAAGAACAGTCATTGGAAATACAACAGTAAATGAGTTAGTAAAAAAAGGTTTAGTTTTTATTCGTGAAGTAGATATATCCTCAAAAGAGTTCCTTCCATCAAAAGTTAACAAAGTTGTTGGAGTTTGTCCAGGGTTGTATCTTCATTTACCATTCATATATTTGCATTTGATATCTCAATATGTAACAAAAGAAATGGATTGCCCAATATTGTCCTTGATTAATGAGTGGGGTCGAGAAGAATTAACTCCTGAAGAAGCAGAACGTTTAAGTATAAACATGCTACTATTTCGTGTATATTTGCTAAGATCGTTAAAATATGAACAAGTTGGACTTGTAGAACTTATTGAAAGTTATTCTGCAATATTAGATGCTGATGTATCATTGCATAAAATTCGTGTTAATATCTCTTCAGGAAATTGTATTGTTCACCATGCATCAAAATCATTAACTTCAAAAAATTTCATTAGTTATGGAAAGAGAATAACTGAAGAAAAGGATTATAAAGATTTTGTTTCAATAATCAACAAACCTAAAGCTCTATCTATGGATTGGGCTGTAACATTTTTCAATAGCAAAAACATTCCAACTTTTCTATCTCAAGCTCCTGATCTTCCACATCTAAGATCTCAAAGTGATAAATCTCAAAGTGATAATAATCTTTCACAGAACCTTGCATATAAAAATGATGATGATGACAATATGGATATTAATGATGACCTTCCAAAGCATCTAATTCTTATGGGACAGGATAAAAGATTTATAGTAACCTCATTAACTCAATCAATGATTAGAAATGAGATTCAAAAGGTACTAATTCTATGGTTTATATGGTTTATTATAATAATTAACAAATATAAAACTAATTATGCATTTTGTTCAGATTCAGAAGGTAGTAAATGACAATAATAATTATGGATTTATTCTCCTCATTATTACAGATGCTATTCCTTCTAAAATTGATGAAAAATTGCGAAAACACATAATTCTTATATCTTCAGAGGAAATTTGTTGGTATTTTGGTGGTGTTATTGCTGATAAACGTAAAAGAATTCTTGAGAGTATGCAAAAAGAATATAGAGTTTAATGTAATAATAAATATAATTGGTTCTAATAAATATTAAAAAAAATTGATTTTTTAGAAAAAAAATTATAATTATTTTTTTGAAAATTCTTAAAAAAGAATCTGCAAAATTAAGAGAATTCTTTTAAGCTCTTTCTAGATTAGAATAGCACATATTTTTAATGGTTCAACTTAAAGTGATAGATGATAGATTAACAAGTATTAGTAGAAAAAAACTAGATCTAATAAAAGAATTTTTTATCATTAAGATTATAATACATTTTAGTTAAGAAACTTATCTTAATATGCTAAAAATTGATAGAATTTATGATAATATTAAAAGAATGTCATAATAGAAACTAAAATGATGATTGATAAAAATATTATTGAAATAATAAAGATTTTTAGAAAATTATGTAAAAGTTCATGAATTATCAAATTTAGGAAGAAATAATTCAATCAATTATATTCTTATCAATTGAAATGAGTTATAAATTAATATATAAAGATATTTTAGCTAGATTAAAAAAAATAACAAATTAAAATGCTTAAAATATAATACTTTTAGAAATTTATAATATCAATTAATATTAGAGATTCAATTATGGATTCAAGAACTAATCTATATAATATATATTAACATTTTAGAAATAGTTTATATTATAATGTTTGTCAAAAAAAAAATTAAAGAATTATTTAAAAGATTTAAAAACATTTATTCTAAGTTAAATTAAAAAGAAATTATTATAATAAAAACACTAATTAACTAAAGAATAAATAAATTAATTAATCAAAATTATTTTCAAAATAATCATAATATTGTAATATTGATGCTACTATTTATTATCACTTAGATTATATAGCAGACAAATTTGACTGCAAAATTAAAAAAAAGTATTAATTTCTTTATAAAATATAAAATATTAATTTTAGCAATATTATTACTATATAAAAAATATAGTTTAATTGCTGATTCACCTATCAATCAGAATACCTGATCACGATTTAATAATAAATCTCATGGTTAATTAAATATACTAGAAATTAAAAATTTTAAATCTCAGTTTCTTTATCCATTAAACTCTAATGTCTTCACAAAATCTAAAGTACAACTTATTTTTACTAGTAATTTTATTTTAACGATTTATTATGGCTCACATGCTAACCAAAAAATATCTGGTGAAGAAAACAGATAAGCATATCCATAAAACTAAATATGAGAGTTTGTCTAGAACTTAATAAAAGAGAGTTTATTATTCGTATTGTTAGTACAAATAATAATATTAGACCAGGTTATGTGTGTGAATCAGACATTACAGCAAAAATTTATTTAACTGTATATAAAGTCATTAATGAAGCATATAAAAAAATTTTTTAATACTAGAATACAGTATTCAGGACCTTTAGTTATGGGTTTTGATAATGAATATATAGCTAAGCAATTAATATCAGATGTAGTATTTTATCCTTTCAAAATATCAATTGACAAACTTTCAGTTTTAATTATAAAGTTAGGTATTTCAAACAATGACTCTGATAATTTAATTGGATATCAATCAAGTTTTACATACAAATATCATAATAAACAAAACCTTTTTATTCAAAAAATTAATAATAAGAGTTGTCAAATTGAAATATTTCAAAATGGGGGTTGGTTACAAATTATAATGATATTTCATCAAATGAAGTTTAGAAGAAAGTAAGAATATTGAAAAATTATAGCGAAAAAATTTTATTTGGGATTAATCATTCAGATACAATTGATGCATTGGAAAATTATGTGGAACAACCAATTTGTAATATAATAGAGTGGGGTAATATTCAGAAAATGACACAAGCATTTAAACAAAGTTTAAAACAGAAAATCGCCATCGCTGAAATTAACTAGTATCAATTCTTTGATAAATGGAAAAATAACAAATAAGCATTATAGAGTTTACTACTTATCTTAAGCAAATATATCTACTAAATTATCAATTTTCTGATCGTGAATTGAGTTTTTGGCAAAGAATGATGAAAAATGTTAGTTGCACTAATATAACATCATATAAAAAAAGAATCTAAGGTTAGTTATTTGTCCTAAATCGTGTAATGATTACATTTTTATAAATACAAAGAATCTAATAAAATATTATTTTTACCTTAGCTGGAATTTTGGACATGTTCTTTGAATTGTTCTAATGATCGTAATATAATATCATACTTGTATACTACAAATTTGCTAAATGTTATTTCTTATAATTAACAAGATACAAAAACTGAGATTAAAAATAAGAAATTAAAAGAAAATATTAACCAGTTACAAGTGACTACCAATCAGTTTTGGAAAAGTTTTGACAAAGTGATTCAGATCAATAAGCATGGGTTGGATGGAAAGCAGCGAATTCTATCTATAATTGCGGAGAATTTTGAATATAATAAAATTCAACGTGAATTATAAGTAATATTTAATTTCAAATTATTTTCAAAATTTCATTATTACATTTAAGCATAATACTAATTTAAATACATTACCTTTTACTCTTTTAGATTTCAAATGATTTAGTTTGTGCTGTAAGAAAACATAGCTGTATAAATAGTCTAGGATATCCTGTGAAAAATAAGCCTACTGTAAAATGAAGTTATATATCTGAAATAAAAGATTGAGAATTTGAAAGCTTTTTTTCCGATAAAAATAATATCAGTATGAGTTCTTATTGTGTTGATCCAAAAACAAATTTACCACTATTATACTTGAAAGATAATAAAAAGCCTTCTGGCAGAAATTTGAAGCAATCTATCCTGACGGAATAAAAGAACATCCTTTATGATATGCCTGAAAAGTGATCATTATGGACGGATTATATAATATTTGTAATGAATACTGCTATAAAGTATTTTATATGCTAATTAATCTGATGCAATCAAATGTAAAGCAGGAATTACAGGTATTAATTTTAAAATAATTTTTGTTTTGAAAAAATTTTATTATAAATAAATTACAAAATTTTAATTAAAAAATACACTAGTAAATGATCTTGAAGAGTTACGTCCCCACCTAAAAAGAGGCTTCAAAAATGAACTTACTGTAAATCAATGATGGGTTTTGGACTTATTTTTTAATTTTAAATATTTTGGACAAGGTTTTGGACATATGAAATTGTGTCCAAAACCTGTCCAAAATCTGTCCAAAACTGTCCAAAACTTTTCAAAATTGTCCAATTGCCCAACACTGCTGTAAATGAAGATGGGACAATATCACATGTGGATACAATTAACCACTGCTTACTATATGTATTCGGAAAATGCACTCAAGAACACAAAACTCGTTGTACTATATGTGATCAGCTATTCATGCTTATCGAACAATTAAATATAATACTACCAGAAAATCTTCAATCTATAATTGAAGAATCACAAAATAAGCTTCATTATTTTTAGCTCATCAGGCGAGAAAAGTCTATTTGAATAATCAATTTAAAGCAAAACTTTTAGAACTTGATAATAATGGTGTAATTTTAGTATGTGACTATAAGATAAGAATCCTACCTAAATGTGTACGTGAAACAAAAGAAAATTTTTTGGCAAACACAGATGGACACTCCACACTATTTTGGTTTTATGAGACATGATGTTACACAACTTGATATGTAAGCTTTTGATCACTGGTCTACAGACACTAAACAAAATGCCTAGTTTACAGCATCATCTTTTGATGCAGTTATTGAAACATTAAATCCAAAACCAAAGTGAATCAAAATTTTTTCTGATAATGGTGGCCATTATCATAACTCAGAGTTAATGATCATTATTTCAAATTGGAATCAATGGTACAATATTGATGTTCGTCGATAGCATTTTCTTGAACCCGGCGAGGCTAAAACTAGCGTTGACTCTCATCATGCATAGGTAAATATGAATTTAATTCATAAACTAAATTTTTATTATTATTATTTTGAAATCTTGAGAATAGACTAGCTAATAAATAACTATTTCTCTTAGATAGCTCATGCTATTAAGCGATATATACGAGTTAGTTATAATTTAGAAAGTAGTGAGAAAATTGAGAAGGCAATTAAAAATTTGAGTGGAACTTCTGTCGCTCATTTGGATCCAAAACGTAATCATATACCTGTAAAAACTATACCTAGTATTACAAAATTATTCTATTTTAAATGACCAATCGAAGGTCCATTTGCTGAATATATTCAGGCTCAAATTTTACCACATGTAGGTGCATAGTCACGTTATTCACCAGCTGATGTTTCAAAATTAGTTGAAGAACCTTTACATAAACCAACTCCTAATATTTCCACTCATACCAAGCCGAACTCAGCATGGAATTTTCACATAGTTCAGAGTAAAGGTACCGTTACAGTTGACAAATATCCTATATTCAAAAAAAAATAATAATAATAATTTTGTGAATACTTTATAGGTAATATGAATAAAAACACAATTGAAATAACAAATAATAGTCAAATCTATTCTAAAGGTATTTTTATTTTTGTTATTTATTATTTATGTAAATATTACAATTCGAAATATCAATTATATATAATATTTTATTATTGTAGACGTAAGTGATACATTTCCATTAGAAAATGGGTGAGCGCTTAGAAGTAACTATAAATATAGTTAAAGAGGTAGTGGAAAGCGTATAATAGTAATAGTAAAGACTTACTTAGAAGGATTTTTTTTGGCGGAAAATGTGAATAAAATAGATTGGATGTCTGCAAAAGATATGGTAATGCAATTAAAACAATTAGTAGAAGGTGATGAAATTTTAGTAGAAGAAGTGCCAAAGATCAAAATAGTTGAAGGTTGGATTACAAGATATTCAGCATACTTACGTAAAGAATCAGTAGAATAAAGAGTAATAGGTGAATCTCAGGATCAAAGTAGCCAGCTCAAAACTAATAAAAGATCTGAAAAAAACAGTGCTGGTAGTAATGATAAGTGGCGAAAAGTATAATAATTTTACATTTAAAATTAATAAAATATTTAAAATTTACTATATTTTAGTCAAGTCAAATCTCGGCTTC